GTAGGGAAACAGGGTCAATGATAATGTTAGACAAGTCAGACAAAAGTGACTAATGTCACTACAGCGCCAGCTGCATTCAAGGGCCAATTAAAAGGTGAAATAATGAGGTTAAATGCCATTTCAATGATTTATAATGACTCACAGAAAGCCATTAAATGTGGCTTCTTCAACGGCTGATAATGCACTACATTAGCCTCTATCAACTAAATAACTAGAAACTACTGCACATCATAATCTACTAATATACCACCAACCTTTTTGGGTGAAAACACCCCATTAAAGTCAGTATAGAGTTCACAGGGCCTTTCAACGTAAAGCTATTTGACAGTCAAAATGACAGAAAGATGTCATAGAGAAAAAAAGGAGAGAAATTGAATGAAAGCATGAATAAGCAGGCAAATAAAAACAATTAAATGACAGGGAGGAGATGCCTTGTTTTAGAGGCAGGCTAACTGTGTTGATGTGTTTCAGGGCGGAACACTAAAAAGACAATGCAATTATGGTAAAAGTACTTTCTGGCACACAATGGACCTTGTTTTGCAAGCAAAAGCATCAGTCCCTGATGTTTCCAGCTACTCTGTAGTTATAAATATATTACACAATTTTTATTCTGTTACAAATCTGTACAAATACAATACAAATCTGTTGTAAAAGGTGTCTTTACATGTTGACATATAAACATCCAGTCAGACGTTAAATCAGTATCAGCTCTGAAGGGTTTAACTAATAATTCCAAAAGGCAAAAACTTTTTGTCCTATTTATTAAAAGAACTGATTGATTAGACTCATGAGAGTCATTCGTTTTTGAATCTGTCAAAATCGGTCACGTTGCATGTCGATGCAGGAAACACTATAGCACACTGATGGTGATGTACATTAATCTGTTCATAAAATTAAATTAAATGTGATGTGTGAAAATGTTAACTATTCAGTAATACACAACTATGGCTTGCTACATGAACTCTATTTTTGAAAAAATAAAAAATAAAAATAAAAAACTTGAATTCTACAAACCTGATTAGAAGAATAAACACTAAAGTCCTCAATAGACAGTGACGTTGGTCTATCAGGACCAATCTAATAGGATTCCATTGCAAGAGGCAAGCAAAACCAAAGATAAAAGAAAAAAAGGAATGGATGAATAATGATGGATGATGAATACGAAGAAAGAAAGGCCCAGACATGAGAAGGAGGTGACTGGTGCAGACAGTAATGGTGATTAATGAAGAGGAGTTTACATGTGTTGTACCTTTTTAGGAGAGAAGACACCCAGGGTTCCCCCGTCCTCCCGTATGGCCACTCCCATCTCTGCCAGCAGTGCCTCTCTGAGGGGAGGAAAGGAAAACATCAGGCTCATGCTGAATGACAGTACATTCAACACCTTTTTATGAACAGTTCGCACTAAAGACATCTGGAAAATATTTCTTGAATATTTGAATGTGCATGTTAGTGTTGAGGTCGGTGTGTTATGTGCGATTTGACAGCTGCTTAAGTCTGGTACTGACTGGCACCAGCTGAGCATGCAGGCACATAGCAGACACTCCTCATGGGCATTATGGGTATGGGCACAGAGACAATAGGAAGGGAGCCAGATGGCACCTAAACCCTCACTGACCTCTCCATACGGATGGCCTCAGTCTTCCTCAGCTTCTCCTCCCAGGTCTCATTCAGCTCGGCTATGATCTTCTCTGACTCCTGCAGGATGGCAGACAAAGAGGGTCAGCATATTTCAAAGGATAATTTGGAAATACATGCTTTGAGGTATAAAACACGGCCTGAAATGGCTAAATATTGCTGGCACGATAAAATGTATATAGATATAGTAGACTATATACATAATCTACACTAGCTTTCAAAAGATTTTTTAATGTTTTTGAATGAAGTCTCTTATGCTCACCAAGGTTGATTTATTTGATCAAAAATACAGTAAAAAAAACAATATTGTGAAATATTATTACAATTTTAAAGAATTGGTTATGGTTTCAAGTCCGTGTGCAATGGGACAACTGCCTGATGTGGGGTCAAGAGCAGTAAACACAGTTAAATACGGGAAGCCCAACACTCATTTTCCTCTATTGTATCTGGCCCTTATTGTCCCTGGCCAGGAGGAAGACCAGAACCATCTGGCCTAAGGGACAGGAAGCTCCCCCTAGATCCTTCCTAAAGGGTTAACACCCCTGCCATCTGTTCATGCAGAAAGTAACACTGTGGCTTCTTTAAACCTGTTGATCCTTCTGACAAACCCAGATAACTACAGAGGACAGAGGACTATACATATACACTACTAGTTTGGAATAATTGTATATGGGAATACAGGGAAATATTATTACAATTTAAAGTAATTTAATTTTGTTTTAATATATTTTTTAAAAATATCATTTTTTCCTGTAATGGTAATGCAGCAGTCATTACTTCAGTTTTCAGTGTCACACGGTCCTTCAGAAATCACTATAATATTTCACAATATTACATCTATTTACTTCTTTCAAAAACATTTTAAAAATCCTAATTATTCCAAACTATTGATCAGTAAGTAATGGATTGTAAGCAGGGCAATCACAGATGACATGTAGTGACTGGTTTGCATGTGAATCACACAGGACAAACTGACATCGATCTGATTATGTTATTGATTAAGGTCAATGCTCTCACATTTTATTATACATCCATATGTTTGGTTGATACAAACCAAATCTATTTCTGTCTGATTTTCTGCCGAACTGCGTCAGAGGCTGACGTCACTGGTGTGAGCCACTTGCCGTAACCATGGAAACTAATGCCTGGAAGCTCTAGCCACGTATATTTTTTCTCTCTCTTTTCGTCCTTTACCATCTCACACATTTACAGAGAATCTCAGTGAATGGCATCAAGCCACTGGTGGGAGGTAAAGTAGGACTTCTTTTTTACCTTTATAGAGGGCATTTTCCCCCTAACCTCATTAATACTTCATCTTTCATTTCAAATTCTTACATTTAATCTATAAACTCAATTATAATAATGTGATTATTGTTATCTATACGTTACCAAATTAAACCATTTACACTGAAAAAATACAACTGCATTGAATAATGTTACGAGATTGTTTTAAATATTTTTTGGAATATACAAACAAGAAACGATGGCGGCTGTTTCATCAAGTGTTTATGCATGGGCTAATGAAACTTTGACTCAACCGATTCGCTCAGAACACGGAATCATTCAGCAATGAATCGGCTGGTTGCTGTGAGATGCGCTGTGGTTTGGCCTAAAAGTGACCTAATATTATTGTACTTGCTTATTGAACTGTTTACTGAACTATTAAACAGTCATAATGGTGAAAACGTTGTGTGATGTTGCCTAATAAGAGGGCATTTCCCCCCCTAACCTCATTAATACTACATCTTTCATTTCAAATTCTTACATTTAATCTATAAATTCAATTATAATAATGTGATTATTGTTATCTCTACGTTATCAAATTAAATAATTTACACTGAAAAAAATACAACTGCATTGAATAATGTTATGAGATTGTTTTCAATATTTTTTGGAATATACAAACAAGAAACGATGGTGGAAATGATACTTTTAAACTAAATAAAAACGCCAGCGTTTATTGAGTGTGTCACTGAGTTGTTCATTTAAGCGATTCGTTCAAACGGCTATTCATCAAATGTGTATACACGGGCTAATGAAACTTTGACTCAACCGATTCGCTCAGAACACGGAATCATTCAGCAATGAATCGGCTGGTTGCTGTGAGATGCGCTGTGGTTCCGCCTAAAATGTAAGTGACCTAATATTATTGTACTTGCTTATTGAACTGTTTATTGAACTATATATATATATAGTGTTATTTAAAAAGTTATATGTTTAAATAAATATTACTTAATAAAATGTTTAAGTACTAAGTATATAATAAGTAATAAGTATATATATATATAAAGTACTTAAACATTTTATTAAGTAATATTTATTTAAACATAACTTTTTAAATAACACTTGGTATTAACAACCCAGAAATTTCACTGGTATCAACTAATTAAATTTTGTTATGACAACGTCATAATGCTTATAGGTGTTCACAGACAGCTGATATATCAGATATCATTCACTTAGACACAATCTGTCAGAACGAAAGCATAACAGCACAGATGAAGTCCTTGAAATACTCTCAGGTTGCCATAGTGATCCAGAGTAGAGTATACATATGTATGAGAACATGCAAATCACTACCAGTAGAACATTTTGAATGTAAAAGGTCAGCAGGTGCCTGAAGCACCTCCATTAGCTTCTTACACATTGTTAGCGAATTAGTTTTGATTCATTCAAGAGGAAACCTCTGTGACGCCATGAAATGGTTTTTCATATATATATATATATATATAAAAAATCAGGGGTTAAATTGGGATTTGATATGTGGGGGTGTCGGGCTTATATATATATATTTTTTTTTTTTGTGCAAATATGACTTATTCTGAACCAATATTCTTATCAGTTTTCTATCAGCTGTGACATATAAATCTGAATGTTTTTTATATTTAATCCAAGGGCATTTTTTACCTTTATAGAGGGCATTTTCCCCCTAACCTAATTAATACTTCATCTTTCATTTCAAATTCTTACATTTAATCTATAAATTCAATTATAATAATGTGATTATTGTTATCTATACATTATCAAATTAAATCATTTACACTGAAAAAATACAACTGCATTGAATAATGTTATGATATTGTTTTAAATATTTTTTGGAATATACAAACAAGAAATGATGGGGAAAATTATACTTTTAAACTAAATTAAAACGCCAGTAGGTGCCAGTAGTGAGCATTTAATGAGTGAGTCACTGAGTTGTTCATTCAAGCGATTCGTTCAAATGGCTGATACACCAGATGTTTATGCATGGGCTAATGAAACTTTGACTCAACCGATTCGTTCAGAACACGGAATCATTCGGCAATGAATCTGCTGGTTTCTGTGAGATGCGCTGGCCCGGCGTGGACATGATGCGCTCCTGGATGCTTGAGACGGACTGGAGCCCTGCCTGGCTGCACAGAGAGCCTGAAGATGGAGAGGCTGTCAGGCAGCTCATAGGTGCTGTGGAGAAATGGCCAGGCCGTTGGTTCTCTGAGGCAAGCAAGTATCTATGCTTATTGTTGTGTATATCTTTCAGGTCTGAGCCACAGACGAGAGACAGGCGATGCAAGGAGGAAGAAGCGAAAGTGGTGGAGACAGAAATGTGAGAGAGTACAGGAGACAGAAAGAAAGAAAAAGGACAAAGAGGAGGAAAGGCCCATGTAAGACACACAGTTTTACAACAACAGGATTACAACAAACACGCCAGTCAGACAGTCTGATACAGTTTTCACCTCAGGTCATTCTATATGAACACATTTCTATCCCCTATACTTTAAAAATCCTATTCATAAATCACCTTTGTTGTCCAGCAATAACATCCTTAAAACAAGCTTATTAAGACATGTTTTGGGGAATGTATCTAAATTTAACTGTATTTTGTCTTGTTCCATTGGCAATTCTTTAACCGTAAATCTCACTAAATATAGCTTAAATGAGCAAATGAAAAACATGATGGACCAAGACAAATACACTTAAATTCATTTTTTTTTGTCTTGTTGAATATTATATTTTATTTGAAAATGCATAAGATTATAGAAATAAAATAAACTGATGCAGTTTCATGTTGACATACATTCTCAGAAATTTAGTCTTAATATATACAATTTTGCTTCTTAGGTAAATTTGTCTTGTTTTAAAAATATTAATTTCAACTACAGTATTTTGAAATTTTGTCATTTTTAAAACACTGTATACAATATTAATATGTGGATAATATTTTGTACAATTTTGCTTCTTAGGTAAATTTGCCTTGTTTTAAGCATATTAATTTAACAACAGTATACAATATTTTTTGAAACTGTCATTTAAAAAATTTTAATATCTGGATGTTAATATTTTATACAATTTTACTTATGTCAGTTTAACTAATTACTATTTAAAGGATATAAAATATTTGCATAATTTTTAAAACTAATATTTTTACTTGAAAATAGTTTACTTGAAAGGTACTAATTAAGAACAGGATTTTTGAAGTACGCACTTATTTTAAGCATTATTATGACAATAAATGGCATCGTCTGTTATTAGTAGCATGCTATAAATATGCATCATATTTAATAAATTATGTAATGTTCAACAACATGTGACTTACAAACAGTGCAGTCGATCTTACAGGCACTTTTAAATGTGATAAATTACTTCTTGCGATGCGATAAATCAATTTGACTGAATTCTGTCCTGGGTGAAAACTGACATCACTTCTCAGATGTGAAAGAAGAGATGTGGGGTGGAGGGATTGCATAAAGGTCACAAACCAGGAGAGGGAGGCTTGGCGGACTGGAAGAGCAGTATGATAACATGCTGCAGATATAAGCTATAAAACGTCTTTTCCACGAGGCACATCGCTCTTAAATCATGATGCTGTCAATGTTTGGCTGCCACAAATCTCTTCAAAACATCTTTTTGGTACAGCCACGGTGACTAGGAGGGGACTGTGCTTACAAAACCTCTCCCAGGGAGCTTTATCGCAGTTCATTCGAGCTTTCTGCTGCATATTCACTCTATTGGATTTTTCCCCCACTTCATTTATCTGAAAAGACTCTCCTGAAGCAACTAGGCCAACATGGCGGCATAGCAGCACTGCATTACATTACTGTTCATGCGTTCTGATGATGCGATTGAGGCCGCTAGCACACAGACCATGGCAAGCACTTCGGTCAAGTTAAAATGTTTGCTTTCCCAGCGCCATATGGTTGTAGCGGTAGAAAGCACAGTGTGCGTTCATCTCTCTGCACATATCAAGAACTCCCAGTCAGATAGAAAACCAAATAGCCACCTGAGCTCTGATTCCATTCTGCAGCTTTTAAAAAGGTACACCGAGCTTGCATAAGAGGATATGAAGAACAGGGAAGGAAAAAGGATTCAGAGGCACTTGGACAAAGGTAGCTACCTATTCTTACACTACCACTGCAACTGCTATTCTGCAAATGTAAGAAAACATGAAAACATGCACCTTTTGCCCGATAGATCATTGTTTTAACATCGTTAATAGTGTGACCTGCAATGAACAGTTAAATGACACAATAAAACCTCACTAGGCAGAAAAAAAAGAGGAAGATTCCATTAAAGGACAATAACAGTTAAATGACAAAATATAATCAGATTTAAAAGAGTGATGATATATTAAAGGGATAGTACACCTAAAAATGATCATCATTTATTGTTGTCATTCCAAACAGTATAACTTTCATTTAAGCCATACGACTATATTTTAAGTCAGTAGCTTTGTGTAATGAACAAACCAAATGTAGAACCAAATGGAACAAGACAAAATCCATTTAAACTGAACATTCCTCATTCATTATTTATTTTTTTTATTTCATTTGAAAATTTGTCAGATTATGGCCATAAAAAGGGTAGCAATGCCATTTCATGTTGATTTTCAATTCAAGACACATTCTCAAAAAAGACATGTTGCTATTAAACTACCATTAATTTTGACAATGCATACTGTGTATGCATGTGTATATTAATATTATATAAAAATCTGCTTCTTAACCAAATTGACATTCAGCAGAATGTCATACAACAGATTTTTTTGAAGAAGTCAATTGCCTTTAAAAGGCTTTAATTGCAAATAAAAAATTTTAAAGGTTCGTCCATTTATGTTACTTTTATGATACATATTATACTGTATTTTGGAATTTTAAAAGTATAAATTACCTTTCCTTGTATGGAATTGAAGCTAGGACATTCTTGTGAAAGATTTAATGATAACAAAATGTTCATTTCGGGGTGAACTATCCCTTTAAGTGCTTCCAGATGCAGTCTATCAGATCTATCGTGCTGTGGCATGGGGTTGGGCTTAGGCTTATTTGAAGAAAAGCCTGCCATTAAGACTGCACCATGCCAGACATAAAGCCTGCCAGTGGCAATCTAACCCATCCAATCCATCTCATATTTATCTGTTGTATGCCTGGGATTCCTTGCAGTAAAAAAAAAAAAACGGAGGCATGCAAAGCTGACACGTTTGTATTCCAGAAGCGATGAAAAGGCTACTGGTAACAAAAGGGGAGAGCGAGAGGATGTGGCCCCGTCAAGCTTATACACACATTTGCTTCCACTTCCAAGGTAATCATCCCCCATTGGCTTGACTGAAGGGAAGCAGGAAGAACAGGAGAAGGTTGAGAGATCAGAGTCGAGAGGACTAGTAGAGGAATGACTGACTGAGGCAGTTAGATTTGACTAGACAAAACACTGTAAGGACAAACATGAGATGGAAACACTTGACTTGTTAAACTGGACATGTTGTAACAAGATTTGCATTTTGGAAAACAATATTGTAATTTCTAACCATCATATCCCTAATCTCCATCGCATGTTGATGAAATGGTTAAATGAAGATGTAAAAGGAACAACATGAAGACAATGTAGGCTGGGCGAGACTGCAGCATCGGAGCTGAAGAATTTGCCACTTGTGAGCACAGTAAGTGACCTCCTAAATGCCTGGCAATTGGCATGTATAGAAGAAGCCATTGGGGGGCGCTGTGCCTCGACTTACTGTCCAGAATGTCCCCAAGCCCCTGGGCATGGAGCAGCTCCTTTAGACGTGTCACCTCGTCCTTCAGCTCCCGCACCAGTTTGGCATTGGGGTCCTCGTTGATGACAGCGTTGCATTTGATTTGCTTGGCTCTGTCTGCATATCTGTGAATGAGCAAACAATGACAATGATCCAAATAGCCATTGATATCACAAGAGTCCCCTTATCACAATCAAGACCATCTAAGAATTGAAGTCACGCTGATTAATGGGAAGTGCGAGTAGGATGTGAATTCTTACCTGAGTGTGCTGAGAGTTTCATCATAGTTAATGTCAGCAGGACTCAGGGCGGCCACCATAGCTGTCCTTGAGTTCCCTCCTGGTGAACAAGCACAATTATGCAAACAATTAGAAACACTAAGTAATGCAAAATCTTTCGACTGGAGTATTGATCTAAGACAGGTCAATTAGTTTAAAGGATGCACTTTCCACAGACCATTAAAAAAAACAAGTGTAATTTTCTGTTTGATTATTCAAATTAGTTTTACATGGTTAAAACTCATTTTAAATGGTAAATCTCTGCAATATTTTCATTTAATAGCTACTGGTTGGCATTGTATGAAAACATTTTATTTCAATCAATTAATATATTTTATATAAAATTGAATATATTTTAAATTAAATAAAAAAATAAAATATTTTTGTTTTAAACAATGAAGTGGGAGAAATATTCATTTAATAGTCCAATCACATTACATAGAGAATTGTTGGATTATTTTGAAATGCAGTCTATTCTAGTCTAGTAGATAAAATATTTATAATCATTATGGATAATCGTCCATACCTAAATTCTCTCGGAGCAGCCATGTCAACACGGAGTCTCGGTAAGGAATGAAGTCTGTCTTCTTTTTCTTCTTGCTCTGTTTCAAAACAGCCGGTAAAACATGTTGGAATATAGCATGTAAATACAGCTACAGCTGTAATAATAATCAAGGGAATTCAGGAAGTGACTTGATGTATGAGACATCAAGACTGGAATAAGACACACTTTTAAGACAAAAGGTTACATGGATAAAGGTTGATAGGCTTAGATAGAGACCGTTCAGTGGTTAGTGACCATACACCGGGAAAGATTACCTTGCTGGTACAGTTATCCTGGGTAGGGAAGCATTGTCAGGAGAGAGACAGACAGCACACAGAGTTATAGTACTGAAGACATGCAGGCAAACAGACAGAGAGAGACACAGGTATTATGAATAATACTCACCACCTCAGCCAGCGCTGAAATAACCTTTCCTAGTGTAGTTAGAGATTTATTGATGTTTGCTCCCTCCTAAGAAGCACAAATAGGTGGGGTAAAAATGAATAGTCAGTTTTTTGATTACATCAAATTAAAACATTTCAACTTAAAATATGTTTGTAGTCAATAAAAGGAATAAAGGAATAAAAATAGCTGTGATGCACATTTTCAGAATATTTGCAGTGTGTGGAGGAGACTGCAGTCACTTTTACATATGGCAGGTGGTTGTGGAGTTCTAGAGAGGCTGTAAAATTAGTCTGTACCTTCAGTCTGGTTCCTTTGGCCCCTGTTGAGTCAGCACGCTCACTTCCTGCCAGATCCACCAGGCTGATTTTGCTGACCTGAAACCAGACAGCAGAGACACTTTCAGACTGATTTTAAGGAAATCTCTTCAGTAAGGCATACTACGTACGTGGGAATGTTTTTTCTTCTCACGTCTATTAGGAATACAATCATATACATATTTTTGATATAGTGACACCCAAATGAATTGTTCTGATGATTCAATCGAACTGATTCAGAACAATTCATTTGGGTGTCACTATATCAAAAATATGTATATGATTGTATTCCTAATAGACGTGAGAAGAAAAAACATTCCCACGTACGTAGTATGCCTTACTGAAGAGATTTCCTTAAAATCAGTCTGAAAGTGTCTCTGCTGTCTGGTTTCACAAACAGCCATTGAGATCACAAGAGTCCCCTTATCAAAATCAAGACCATCTAAGAATGGAAGACACACTGTTTAATGGGAAGTGGGAGTAGGACGTGAATTCTTACCGGAGTGTGCTGAGAGTTTCATCATAGTTAATGTCAGCAGGACTCAGGGCGGCCACCATAGCTGTCCTCGAGTTCCCTCCTGGTGGACAGGCACAATTACGCAAACAATTAGAAACACCTAGTAATGCAGTTTCTTTCGACTGGAGTATTGATCCAAGACAGGCCAATGAGTTTAAAGGATGCACCTTCCACAGAACATTAAAGAAAGCACAAGTGTAATTTTCTTTTGTTTTAAATGTTTAAAATTCATTTTAAATGCTAAACCTCTGCAATATTTTCATTTAATAGCTATTGGTTGGCATTGTATGAGAACGTTTTAATTAAATCTGTTGAATATAGATAATATTTAGAGGAATAGTTCACCCCCCAAAAAAATACAGTGAATAAGGATTGGGTCTGTCAAGCTAAAAAGAAAAGAAAAGAAACAAAAAAGAAAAGACAAGAAAAGTTAAACAAAAGAAAAGAAAATCAAATAAAATATTTTTTTGTTTTAAATAATGAAGTGGGTGACCTACTCCTTTAAGAGTCCTATCATATTACATAGAGAACTGTTGAATTATTTTGAAATACAGTCAGTTCTATTTTTAAATGCTGGTTTATAATACCCATGCAACATAGTTGATACAATCATTTATAATCATTATGGATCATCGTCCATACCTAAATTCTCTCTTAGCAGCCATGTCAACACTGAGTCTCGGTAAGGAATGAAGTCCGTCTTCTTTTTCTTCTTGCTCTATTTCAAAACAGCCAGTAAAACATGTTGAAATATAGCAGGTAAATATAGCTACTGCTGTAATAATGAAGGGGGTTCAGGAAATTACTTGATGTATGAGACATCAAGACTAGAATAAGACACTTTTAAGACAAAAGGTTACATGGATAAAGGTTGATAGGCTTAGATAGAGACCGTTCAGTGGTTAGTGACCATACACCGGGAAAGATTACCTTGCTGGTACAGTTATCCTGGGTAGGGAAGCATTGTCAGGAGAGAGACAGACAGCACACAGAGTTATAGTACTGAAGACATGCAGGCAAACAGACAGAGAGAGACACAGGTATTATGAATAATACTCACCACCTCAGCCAGCGCTGAAATAACCTTTCCTAGTGTAGTTAAAGATTTATTGATGTTTGCTCCCTCCTAAGAAGCACAAACAGGTGAATAGTCAGTTTTATGATTACATCTAAATGAATACAATTCAGCTTAAAATATGTTTGCAATTAAAACAAACAAACCCTTAAAGGAATAAAAATAGCTGTGATGCATATTTTTGTTTTGAGTGTTTTATGTTCTGTCATGCATGTCACATTCCCAGAATATTTGCGGCATGTGGAGGAGACTGCAGTCACTTTTACATATGGCAGGTGTTGGTGGAGTTCGAGAGAGGCTGTAAAATTAGTCTGTACCTTCAGTCTGGTTCCTTTGGCCCCTGTTGAGTCAGCACGCTCACTTCCTGCCAGATCCACCAGGCTGATTTTGCTGACCTGAAACCAGACAGCAGAGACACTTTCAGACTGATTTTAAGGAAATCTCTTCAGTAAGGCATACTACGTACGTGGGAATGTTTTTTCTTCTCACGTCTATTAGGAATACAATCATATACATATTTTTGATATAGTGACACCCAAATGAATTGTTCTGATGATTCAATCGAACTGATTCAGAAAGCTCTTGTAAATCCTGCGTTGCATTAATCATTCAACTAGTTCAAATAGTTCATTCATCAAATCATTTTAGGGCACTTGAAAAATCACTGGTGCATGCATGCAAAACTAATTGTGCTAAAGGATGCTTGGGTTATCTTTTAATTTTGTCGTGCTTGAGTTTGGGCCAGCGGTGCCGCTGCCAAACTGGATGAGTAATATTAGAGCGAGGGCTGAGGCGAGTCCTGTGTAGTGAATGTAATGTAGTAGCTCTGTACAATAGCCATTGTGTCCGTGGACCTCATAGAGCGGTCTTTGTGTCCGCAGCAATTACACAATGAGCCCCACAAACACAGGATGAGTGGGACGGGTCTCTTTCTCTTGGTTTTCCTTTCTACTTGGTACAGGATTTGCTGACTTTGGGTTGCAGGATGAATCTGAGCTCTGTGAGATGTCATAATGGCTGTGGATGGGTGTAAAATATCTAACCTTCTCTGTGGACAGGTCTGTCTTGCTGTCATACTTCCTCTGCGTAAAAACAATAGTGAAGACTGCGTGAGAGCGGCTGCTTGTCTCATTCATGTTGGTGGCGGCAACAGTTCTGAGGATACAGAGAGCAAAATGAGTGTCATAGTTGTCACATACATATAATTATTTGAGTAAAGCAAATTTATAATTAAGTACAATGTAAATCAATGGATATTACATAATGTAATAGTATTGTCTTACATTTCTTGACCTTATATTTAACATCTATATAAAGCTGAATACTATAAAACTAGGGTCTTTAAACTAGGGTCAACCCTGAACTCAAAGTAATTTAGTGAAGAATAAATAAAATATAAAATAAATAAAAATATGCATAACAAAAATACGAGAATAAAGATTGAACCCTGATGAGGAAAAAAAATAAAAAAAATAAATGAATGAAATTATGCATTAAACAAAAAATGTTTCAAAAGTTTTAACTCTCATCTCAAAGTATTTTGTGAATAAATAAATAAATGAAACATGAATAATAATAATAATAAACAATAAATGAAAATATGCATTAATAAACAAAAATTCCGTAACAGTTAACAGTTGAAATTCAGTTAAATTGTCCTTCCAAATGGCTTCCATTGTCCCTCTCACATTAAAAGTGCAATTAAAACATCAAGAATGATTATTTGAACGGCTTTACAATGTAAGAATCAGAACAAGAAATTTATATAAATAGATTAATATGGTATTATATGCTATTTTAGGGCAGTCCTTTTCTCTTTATCCACCAATAATCTCTTAATTGGCCTGAAAAAGGCTGCTTAGGAAGTTCATAGACAGCTCTAGATGCTTATCACCAGAGTGTGAGAGAATAATCCTGGAAAACGCTAGTAAGTGCAGTAATAAGACATCAACACAGCTCATGTGCTGGATATGGCCCTGGGTGGGATGCTCTCGATAGGGCTGTCGCGATAACCACAATGTCGCAATACCGCGCTATTGACGAGCAAACCGCAGAGGAATGCAAGAACCGCAACAACCGCGATTTTTACGTGTTTTCTTTTTTCGTAAGGTTATTCCCTTCTCGTTTTACACCATGCATGTGGACTGAATATTAAACAAGTTACTAATGATAACATAATGTGTACCATGCTGATTTGTACAGAGGCTCTGCAGATTTGCACTTAACAAGCCTAAACAGACAGTGAATGAGAGAGAGATCGACTGAGCGCGTGCGATTACTTGCGTCTGTCCTCCAGGCCGAGTCATATATATTTGTGAAAATAGGTTGTCATGTCCAAGGAAAGCGAAATCTCTGTCTTAGCATCGACGCATAGCTGGTCAGCTGAGCCTTCTAAAGTGGCGCTCAAAGTTAAAATGATTTCAACAGCGTGTTTCATTACGTCTCTTTGAATGAATGAATCAGCGTTTTTGAACGTGTAGTTGAATGACAGTCCCTTTCCAACATCTTGTGGCGCAACACTGTAACTGCACTGACTGACAGCCCGTCTAGAACGC